AAAATTTTCAAAATCCCAACCTTGAAAAGTTTGATATTTTTGGCTTTTTTTCCCACCAATCTTCAAAATAGTCCAATTCAAGTGCAACGAATGGGAAACATTGTTTTTTGGCCAACTGTCAATAAAAGAAGTTGTAATTTTCCTATTAAATGATGATTTCTTCCACAAAATTAATCTTTCAAATCTTCAAAATTAAGTGTTTATTCTTCGAAAATAACAAGTTCTCGGCGCTCCTGTTGCTAGCGCTCCTGACCCGGGAGCGAGAGGTCGTGAGTTCGAGTGCCGACCTTGAAAAGTTTGATTTTATTGGCTTTTTTCCTAGAAATCTTGAAAATAGTCCAATTCAAGTGCAGCGAATGGGAAAGATTGTTTTTTGGCCAACTGTCAATAAAAGAAGTTGTAATTTTCCTATTAAATGATGATTTCTTCCACAAAATTAATCTTTCAAATCTTCAAAATTAAGTTTTTATTCTCCGAAAGTAACAAGTTCCCGGCGCTCATGTGGTTACCACTCCTGTCCCGGGAGTGAGACGTCGTGAGTTCTAGTTCCGACCTTGAAAGTTTAATTTTTTGTGGCTTTTTTTCCCAGAAATCTTCAAAATTGTGCAATTCAAGTGCAACGAATGGGAAAGATTGTTTTTTGGCCAACTGTTAAATAAAAGAAGTTGTAATTTTCCTATTAAATGATGATTTCTGATGATGGGAAAGATTGTATTTTGGCCGACTGTTGGTAAAAAGTTGGAGTTTTCCTATTAAATGATGATTTCTGCCCCAAAGTAATCTTTCAAATCTTTAAAATTAAGTGTTTATTCTTCGAAAATAGTTTGATTTTTTTTCTATAAATTTTTTTTTTCTAGAAATCTTCAAAATTGTCCAATTCAAGTGCAACGAATGGGAAAGATTGTTTTTTGGCCAACTGTCAATAAAAGAAATTGTAATTTTCCTATTAAATGATGATTTCTGCCCCAAAATTAATTTTTCCAATACTCAAAATGCCGACCTTGAAAATTTGATTTTTTTTGGCTTTTTTCCAGAAATCTTCGAAATTGTCCAATTCAAGTGCAACGAATGGGAAAGATTGTTTTTTGGCCAACTGTCAATAAAAGAAGTTGCAGGTTTCCTATTAAATGATGATTTCTTTCACAAAATTAATCTTTCAAATCTTCAAAATTAAGTTTTTATTCTCCGAAAATAACAAGTTCCCGGCGCTCATGTGGTTACCACTCCTGTCCCGGGAGTGAGACGTCGTGAGTTCGAGTCCCGACCTTGAAAGTTTAATTTTTTGTGGCTTTTTTTCCAGAAATCTTCAAAATTGTGCAATTCAAGTGCATCGAATGGGAAAGATTGTTTTTTGGCCAACTGTCAATAAAAGAAGTTGTATTTTTCCTATTAAATGATGATTTCTCCCTAAAATGTTTCTTTCAAATCTTCAAAATCCCGACCTTGAAAAGTTTGATCTTTTGGGGCTTTTTTCCAGAAATCTTCAAAATTGTCCAATTCAAGTGCAACGAATGGGAAAGATTGTTTTTTGGCCAACTGTCAATAAAAGAAGTTGTAATTTTCCTATTAAATGATGATTTCTCCCTAAAATGTTTCTTTCAAATCTTCAAAATCCCGACTTTGAAAAGTTTGATCTTTTGTAGCTTTTTTCCAGAAATCCTCAAAATTGTCCAATTCAAGTGCAACGAATGGGAAAGATTGTTTTTTGGCCAACTGTCAATAAAAGAAGCTGTAATTTTCCTATTCAATGATACCTTCTTCCCAAAATTAATCTTTCAAATCCTCAAAATCCCGACCTTGAAAAGTTTGATTTTATTGGCTTTTTTCCCAGAAATCTTGAATATTGTCCAATTCAAGTGCAACGAATGGGAAAGATTGTGTTTCGGCCAACTGTCAATAAAAGAAGTTGTAATTTTCCTAATAAATGATTATTTCTGTCCAAAATTAATCTCGAAAATCTTCAAAATCCCGACCTTGAAAAGTTTGATTTCATTGTGCTTTTTGAGAGATCTTGAAAATTGTCAAATTCAAGTGCAACGAATGAGAAAGATTGTATTTTGGTCAACTGTCAATAAAAGAAGCTTTAATATTCTTATTAAATGATGATTTCTCCCCCAAAGTAATCTTTCAAATCTTCAAAATTAAGTGTTTTTTCTCCGAAAATAACAAGTTCTCGGCGCTCTTGTGGCTAGCGCTCCTGACCTGGAAGCAAAAAGTCGTGAGTTCGAATCCCGACCTTGAAAAGTTTGGTTGTTTTTGCTTTTTTTTCATAAATCTCCGAAATTGTCCAATTCAAGTGCAACGAATGGGAAAGATTGTTTTTTGGTCAACTGTCAATAAAAGAAGTTGAAATTTTCCAATTAAATGATGATTTCTCCCCAAAAGTAATCTTTCAAATCTTCAAAATTAGGTTTTTATTCCCCGAAAATAACAAGTTCTCGGCGCTCCTGTGGCTAGCGCTCCTTAGCCGGCAGCAAGAGATCGTGAATTCGAATCCCGGCCTTGAAAAACTTAATTTTTGTGGCTTTTTTTCCCAGAAATCTTCAAAATTGTGCAATTCAAGTGCAACGATTGGGAAAGATTGTTTTTTGGCCAACTGTCAATAAAAGAAGTTGCAATTTTCCTATTAAATGATAATTTCTCCCTAAAATTTGTCTTTCAAATCTTCAAAATCCCGACCTTGAAAAGTTTGATCTTTTTGGGCTTTTTTCCAGAAATCTTCAAAATTGTCCAATTCAAGTGCAACGAATGGGAAAAATTGCTTTTTGGCAAATGTCAATAAAAGAAGCTGTAATTTTCCTATTAAATGATAATTTCTCCCAAAATTAATCTCTCAAATCTTTAAAATCCCAATCTTGAAAAGTTTGATTTATTTGGCTTTTTTTTCCAGAAATCTTCAAAATTGTCCAATTCAAGTGCAACGATTGGGAAAGATTGTTTTCTTGGGCAACTGTCAATAAAAAAAGTTGTAATTTTCTTATTAAATGATGATTTTTCCCTAAAATTAATCTTTCAAATCCTCAAAATCCCATTCTTGAAAAGTTTGATCGTTTTGGGCTTTTTCCAGAAATCTTCAAAATTGTGCAATTCAAGTGCAACGAATGGGAAAGATTGTTTTTTGGCCAACTGTCAATAAAAGAAGCTGTAATTTTCCTATCAAATGATAATTTCTCCCCAAAATTAATCTTTCAAATCTTCAAAATCCCGACCTTGAAAAGTTTGATTTTATTGGCTTTTTTTCCAGAAATCTTGAAAATTGTCCAATTCAAGTGCAACGAATGGGAAAGATTGTGTTTCGGCCAACTGTCAATAAAAGAAGTTGTAATTTTCCTAATAAATGATTATTTCTGTCCAAAATTAATCTCTCAACTCTTCAAAATCCCGACCTTGAAAAGTTTGATTTCATTGGGCTTTTTTGAGAGATCTTGAAAATTGTCAAATTCAAGTGCAACGATTGGGAAAGATTGTTTTTGGCCAACTGTCAATAAAAGAAGTTGCAATTTCCCTCATGAATGATGATTTCTGCCCAAAATTAATCTTTCAAATCTTCAAAATTAAGTGTTTATTCTCCGAAAATAACAAGTTCTCAGCGCTCCGTCCTGTGGCTAGCGCTCCTGACCCGGAAGTGAGACATCGTGAGTTCGAATCCCGACGTTGAAAATTTAGATTTTTTGTGGCTTTTTTTTCCAGAAATCTTCAAAATTGTCCAACTCAAGTGCAACGAATGGGAATTTTTTTTGGTTCTTCGTAAACGTTTTTATAAGTGTTTTTGTTTGGACGGACTGGAATCCCTGGTTTTAGGGAGTTGTGCCTGGGCGATATTTATACCAGCCCATTTTTTCTTGGGCCACCAAAAGTCCTTATTTCAAAAGAAACTGCAGGGGTACTTTTTTAGGGATCAGTTCTTGCGAAGAATTTGCCATGTGTGTACAATGTTCAGAACATTTAGACAGTGTGGACGAACGGGTCTTGTCTTTCCTATTTTCCCCCTTGAGGGCGCTCGTTGAAATTGAGCACAAGCTCCTTGTTCTGGTTCACGAAAGTAAATGTACACTGTACATGTACTACTAGCCTGCCATAAGTGCAAGGTAAGCCACGTCCCTTTATTACTTTTTAAGTTTTGTAACACAGTTTTCCTTAAATTGCGACTCATAGCTGTTGATGTTTGTTGTGATCTAACTGGACAGCAAAAAAAAACTTGCCACTTCTGTCAAAGGCCACACATAAAAAATTCACTCCATAGAAATATTTTTTTGTACACGGGTATAATGTAGCCCTACAAATNACATGTAGGGCTGTAGTGGTGGCTCTCTTTTACATGTTTTACAATCTGTCTCTTATCTGTTGCCACCACAGCCCTACTTCAAGGATGTCTGAAATGCCTGAAATCCAAACTGCAGGATTGTCACAAACTAATATCTTCCGAAATGACAATGACTCAACAATTTACATACACCGTCGTATTTCTCAGAGTTTGGACTTTCATACGAGCACCCTAAAGCTTTCCAGAATCGTAAATATTCCGATGTATGGTGCTGTATGGGCGGCGCCATTTTGAAAAACAAAGGCAGCGCTTCGTTCGTCGGATTTCAAGGCACATGGCAGGCGTTCTGTCTATGTTGTACCATACAAAACTGGTACCTCATCATACCTTGCGCGACAGAGGAACAAGGAACAGGTGAAATTGAATTTAAGTAACATTAATACGCATGTTCTGTATGGGCGTACTGTACACTAGCAAAGTGTGTGCGCAACTTATACTAAACAATACTGTGACTCCATGAATGATGCATCTACGGCACCTGTCCAAACTAGCTAGTGCTACATTAGCTAATGATGTTAAAAGATTTTACACCAGATGACATGTACATGTATGACGTACAGTGGGTTTGTGCACAGAGGCACCGAGAATGGTCTGTGTATTGAACTCTTTGCCTGGGAGCTTCGATTTGGAGATTATTTACATGTATATGTAGGCCCATTTTAGGGGGGCTACATGCAGAGAAATACATGTACATTCATCCTTAAAAGTTTACCACATGCACTGTACATGTACAGTGGTGATTTTTTCTTCAGTCTGTTGCATTTCATTCATAAGTTTGGCTGAATCATCAGTGGTTTCTATTCCTAATTTTGTTTATTCAGTATTTCACATAAAAATTCAGTGTGCTAAAAATTATCTGCTACATGTACCATGGGAATAAAGTAGTGATTTTAAAAAATGGATCTGATCCCAATGGCAACTGTAATTCAGTAAATCCATACCAGTACATGTACATGTTCTGGTACTTGTAAGTACATGTAACTGTCTTACACTTTGCATAATGGTCTCTTCTAATCAAATAAATAATGAGCACATGCTCACATACACTTTATAATCAGTGTGCTCCCAATGCCAGTGATGTTCATCAAAGCGTTTGCTGCAGCCAGCCAGTAGAAAAAGCCAGTACTTAAACAATGGAATTTGGGGATCTGTGGTGGGTTTAATTTAGGCTTTTTACTGCAGCAATAACCAGAGTCAAAAGCATTGTGAAAAAGATGAGGAGCAGTTTTGTTTGTGTTATTCTCTTTCTTTTTTTTGCATATGAGAGGGAAAACAAAATCCAAGACATTTCAAACAATATGAGTGTGTTTCTTGCCTATGAAATAATGATTAACGTTTACTGGGAGGGTTTTGCTGTAAACTGTTGGGGATAGCTTAGCTTTCCTTGAAAGGTGCGTCTGAATTCAACAAAATCACAAAGTAATGCACCGCATCTCGTGAAAGTGAATTTCAGATCTGTCGAAATTGTCACTCTGCACATCACATTGTGTGCTAGTCAGCCGTCTCAAACCCATCGATCCCTGTTGGAAAATATAATCCACTTTATGTCTCTGAACAAACTACATGTACAATTGACTATTGTTCAGCCAAAGACCATTCCTAGTTTATTGTTTGAACAATTGAATTCTTTATGACTCAAAACCATTCAGTTGGAGCCACATTGACAGTACACGCAGCCTTGGTTGCGTTGCGCCATGGTTTCATAGAGAATGTATTGTGAAAACAAAAATGTTAAGCTTTTTACTTTTGTACTAATGAAAAAGCTGCATCACAGGATCATTGAGTATTCAGTGCTGTGCAAAGAGGAGTAGTCAATCCAAAATCATCCACACCAATAGAAAAAATCAGCAGAGCATGACCGTGAAACAGTTTTACTGTATCGGTAGATCTACAGTGTTGCCCCAAAAGATGCCAGACATACAAGTACATGTATTTCACTCAGCAATACGTGTACAATGTACATGTACATGAATTCAGCATTGTGTTCAGAAGCGTTTCACTGAACATCTCATTCACCCCCTTTAAGGCCCCTCCCAAAATAATAGTCAGTCTCTGGTCAGCGTACTTGTCGATTTTGAACCTGCATGTCAATTTTTCTTTTATTATTTTTTTCTCGAAATTTTCAAAACAGCTCCCTCTACCCGTATTTCCGCACCACCTGAATGTTTGTGAGTAGACTGATTCCCGGCCGCAAGTCCACAAGTCAGAAGGGCAATTTGTTCAAGGAACCAGACTAATTCTTGGGTGCATTGTACGTGTAGCCTTGTACCTGGTGACAGATCCGTTACGATTGCGTAATGTTGATGTGGAACATAAACAGTAGACCATAGGTTGGTTACAAAGTTGCAGCCAGCTGATCAACAACAATGGCGGCATGACGTGCGACGTGCTACTACAAGCCTTTGCTCTTTGATGCCACTCATTTCCGTGTCTGATGCCAGTCTTAAAAGCCAACCCTATCACCCCCCCAAAGAAACGCATCCCCCCATCAATTCTGGAACGTGATTGGGGGCAAGCTTTCGCATAGCAACCACTATCTCTGGAATGACCTGGTTCCTTTGTGCCTTTCTTATCCATTGAAAACAGTGTATTGTTGCAAGGCCTCCCTTATGTAACTAAGCTAAAGCTTGCCCCAAATCACGAGGTATAGCAACAGTGGTTTTAGTAAGGAGAATTCAAGATGTTATGTTCACGTGAATTTAAAGAACTCAGTGTATCAGATTTGGGTCAAAGTTAACTTGCAAAGGGCTTATTCCTTTTTGCCAAGTTGTTGGCTGTGTTGTGTGTACAATGTACACGTGTACTGTCACCAACTTTCTGCCCAAAACCATAATTTATAAAAAATTAAAGAGGTGCGATAAAGAAAACCTTCCTACCCCAAGTTATAACCTTTAGAACAAGAGGTGACAAGACCATCTTCCCAAATTAACAAGAAAAAATGGAACAGTGTTCCCATTTATGATTGAAAAATTGTCCAAAAAATGGGCTTCCACAAGTCCCTTTTTTGCCGATTCCAGAAACACTCATTATGTATTAATGATACATGTATGCCAGTGACCCCAAAACGTCACGGGGAGATATGGCTGTAAACATGGTACATGTACATCTTCACATGCAAGTCTCATGATAGAGCCATGCTCAAAATGCATTGTTCTTACGTGGTTCTTGTCCACTTTATTGATTGTTATATCAGGTTTAAATGAACGATTTGTTGTGTTTGGTGATAAAGTAAAACGTACATGTACCCCGGTCTTGTGCAGTGTTGACAGGAATCTCGTACACCGTGAGACTTGGTCTCAAGGTTTCCGTGCAGTAACGCATAGAATTTATTGTTCCTGGACAGCGCATTAAGAGTAGATTTTAAACCTTGCCGGTTGTCGCAGATAAGTACATGAACATGTCATACGCAGAGGAGTTTTGAAGCACTGCTTCAAAAAACATCTAGTGTCTTGCAAAAGACACCCATGCATGTGGGTTGCTATCTTTTCTGAAAGTTGTACATGTACACACATACAAGGTACATGTACATTGTAGCCCACCATTTAGCCTAAGATTCAGGTCTGGGTACTTCTATACTACTACTAGTTATTCTCTGTGGCGTATGAATAAAAATTGCCACTGCACGTGAACACGACTGCACTCTCACATGTTTGCCACGCAAGTTGCATGTACATGTACCATTGGTTCAACTCCAGGCACCTTCAACATCTTGTACTTCTTCATTTCGAAACAATTATCACAGCTACATGGACATGTATTTTGACCAGCAAAGAGTAAGATTTGAGGTTTATGTATCTTAGAGATGAATGTAGTAGCACACTATCAGACTATTGGGCATTTTCTACATGTCATCAAAACTCCTCGTTGGGCTGCAACAATGCCAGTTTACGTACATGTAAAGCTTCATGCATACAGTTCACGTACTTCGTGCATGCCTGTTGTGCCTTTTTCCCCGTTAATAATCAACACAAACACAAAATGTGACCTTATGTTTTTCCAAAATCGGCCCAGTTGGACGTGGACAGAAGTTACCTCTTATTTCTTGTGTGTCGATTTTTGGAATATAAATTCTTTGTATACTGGTTTCGGGTGGCCAATCTACATGTACATGTACATATACATGTTCCTCCAAAACCCTAGATGTCATAAGATTTTAAGACTTTTTCCTACCTCCTTAAGCAATGGCTCATCTTTTGCTTTTTATTTATTTCAAACTTCAGATGTGCATGTATGCAAGGAACTTCCTGAAATCAACCAATCTAATTCACCAAATGCTGGGACTCAACTGATGTCGTTTCTCAAATATATAAAAGGAACTGGAATGTTTCAATTAAAATAGCCGTCGTTGGACACATCAATCATTTCTTTGTGAGTACAATACTGTACATGTAGACAAGTTGCAGAGTCCCATCATGCTAGTATTAACTGAGGCCCGTAGTAGCAGCACAGGGGACGCCGTTGATTTTCACCACTCATCGCACTCGGCTGCGCTGCTGGCTGCGCTGCAAGAATTACGGTTAGACCGGCAATTTGCCGACGTGATCCTGCATGTTGAGGATAAGGACTTTTACTGCCACAGGAATGTACTGACAGCCTCCAGTGCCTACTTCAGGAGCATGTTTCTCAACAACATGAAGGAGAGTCGGGAGAGTAGAGTTGTTATCAAGGGAGTGACTTCAACTAGCATGGAGCTGGTCCTGGATTACGTGTATACATCGAGAGTGACCATCACGACCGGAAACGTGCAGGGCCTGCTGAGTGCTGCAGACCTTCTCCAGGTTGTCCCTGTGCAGAGGGCGTGCGAGTTGTTTCTGTGGAGTCACATCCACACCACCAACTGCCTAGGGGTATACCTACTGGCTGAGCAGCATTCCTGCAAGGAGCTCTCGCATAAGGCGTGGTCGTATGCCCTGGAAAATTTCCCCCGGGTCTGCTGCCATGGGGAGATTTTGAAACAGTCCGCCGCAACCTTGGTCAAGTATTTGTCCAGCGACGAACTTGTAGTTGAGTCGGAAGAGGACGTTTGTGAAACCATCTTGAAATGGACGCTAACCAACCTGGGGCAGCGGCGTCGCCACTTACACGTCTTGCTCGCCCTCCTCCGTACCCACCTCCTGCCTCGGAAATACCTCACTGAGAGAGTCCTCACAAATGAACTCATTACTGGAAGTATCGATGCAAACAAACTATTAAGTTCGTCATATGGAGGTAGTGAAATTTTCATCTCGAGTAGGCTGGGTGAAAGGCGAACTCGTTCGCGTAAAGTCATCGTCGTGGTGGGGGGTGTGGGACCTGCCAACACTAAGCTGAGAGACTTGAAGTACTACGACCCTGTTGACCGACGATGGGGCACACTGACCCAACTCCCGGCCATGGCAGAGTCTGTGAGCGGCGTTGAGGTAGTAGACAGCAATATCTATGTTGTGGGCTTCAGAGGTGAAGTATCAGTATTCAGGACTGCAAGCAGCCGGTGGGAAACCCTGTCATCCTCGGCGGTAGAAGCGGGCTCCAGACAGAGGCGAGCAGCTGCAGTGCTGAGTGGCTTCATATACCTTGTCGGCGGTTATGACGGAGCAATCAGGCTATCAAGAGTTGACAGGTTCGACACGAGGACGAAAGTGTGGGAAGAGGTGAGTTTGTTACTCTTAATGTGAAGTTGTCATTGATGGCTTTTCTGTACAATTGTTTCAGTTTGCCCTTTACCTCCAAAATGTGCCCTATTGTAATGGACACCTCTGCCCTTACATGAACATGTATGTCCTTTGCCCTAACTACTCGACCTTCATGACGGTCTAAAAGTTGGTGACAAGCACATCCTGCCATGCCATGAATGGAGGGCTTTGTCCAGCAGCAGGGCCCATTGAACCAGCAGCTGCATGGTGAATAGACTGTATGTGTGGTGTGCACTAATGCTCACACAAAGGTGCTGTAGTAGCAGTCTTCCATAGCGAAGGGTTAACATGTAGTTAAGATGACAATTTTGTTTCTACTTTAGTTACGTGTACATGTACTGTTTTCCACCAAGCCACTTGTTCCCTTCAAACAGCATACAAGGCATATGCAAGCGATAATGGTGACAGTTTTCTTTGTAATTGTGTTGTTGTGTTTGCTGTTGATGCTGTTAAATGTCCAAATCCAAAAACTGCCGAGGATTGCCTTTCAAGTGCCGTAACAATCGCTAGCAACCGTAGCTTGAAGTGATATGAGTACATGCATGTTCGTAACCGAGGAGTTTCTAATTTTCTCGTGTTCGCAAAGTCAAACCTCATTACATTCATTGTTTTTGGTGCTTTACAGGTAGCTCCTCTGTCTGAGGCTGTAAGCTCTCCTGCTGCCGTCTCACACGATGGGAAGGTCTACGTCTTCGGCGGTGCTCTCTCCGACGAGATTGCCACCGACAAAGTTCGCTGCTATGACCCGAAATTCAACCGTTGGCTCACCTGCGCGCCGATGCCGCACGCTCTGTCGGGGATTGCGGCCCGTGTCATGGGGGACAAGATCTACATCGTGGGGTGCCTGTCCCAGACTGTGCACCGCTACGACCCAGCCACAGACACCTGGGGACAGGTGACAAGTATGCGGTGCACAAGGGCTTTGTGCTCGGCTGCTGTCTGCGATGACAAGTTATACGTGAACGGAGGTGAAGACCAACCCAACAGCCTGACGGATACCATGGAGCAGTATGACCCCATCTCTAATCGGTGGACACCATGCTACAGTCTACCCTATCCGGTCAAGCTTCACAACTGTGTCACTCTGATAAAGAGAATTTGACAAAGTAACATGAAATAAGTTCAAGTCCTTTACTTCAGGATTAAAAACAAAAACTGATATCTAATTTTTTCTTTTCCATTTTCAAATTCAAAAGCAACATGTCTGACAAAGTAGTGTCTGAAGATTTCCAGAAATCCTGTTTGGTTACAAACCCTACCTTTGGTTCAACTGGAGTTATTAGTGATCCTGTACTTTTGCTGTACAGTGTACAAACCTGTTGATGATCATTGGCATTTCCATCGAGGAACAAGAAGTTGAGTATTCTCCATATAAATTGGGTGCAGTTTTGCAAGAGTTATCATATGGTAATGTTTATGTTTGAAACGTCGTCCAGGCCATTGACATCATTTCAGGAATGGTTAAAGTTATTATGAACGTACATGCCTTTTGTCACTGTGGGCATTGTGCTTGGAAGTGAACATTTGAAAACGTTACTAGCGTTCATCATGTAGCTGTAAAGATGTATGTACATGTATGTGTTTGGTGTTGCGTAAATAAGGAAGTGTACATGTATATATTTATCTTGTTCAATGTATATGGTGATTACCATGAGTGAAACTAGTATGCTAACTTTGGGAACTATTTACATTTATCTCCATAGATTGTAAACTGAATTTATTACATTTGTCATTTTGATTCATGACTGGATATGCCCGTTCAGTATTTCAAAAAAAGCCAAGGTCTTTTGGGAACAAAATGAAAGCATGGTCGTGCTGATTAGACAGGCTGTGATGCGCGTGCCTACATTTAGCTGTTTCTGAATAACCTCACCCTGGGCATGCACACTATTGGAATACTGAACTGGCTCATTAATGTGCAAATAATTACATAAAACATACTCAAGTTGTATACGTTAATTCAAATACCCTGTAATGCAGGAAGTGGGCATAAATGGCCTGTAAATAAATAATTTATTCAAGAAGATATTTTTTCCTAAAATATTCTACCACTTTGCCAGTTGATGACGTGAGAAATTTTGATGTACATCCCTTACAGAGAAACTTGAGTAGTTTTAGACTGTATAAGCCTAAAATTTATTAGGTTTGGATTTTAGATTGGGGTTCACTAGCTGTTATTTTATTTTGATCTCTTCCTACAAAATCCCCTGTACCTTTTGGCCTTTTATCCAACCATCTCACCCTTTCATTTTGTGCTGCATTTGTCCATGCTTGGTTGATTCCCTGCTTTCTTGTTTGTCTCTGTCTACTTGTCATTTTGCTTTTGAGAAAGGTTCTGCTAGGATCGAAACATCAGGCCCTCCTCTAATACTTTGTAATTTGTATTTTAGGTCACTGTAGCCAGCAAGCACTTTGCATCAGTTTTGCATTTATACATGTATCTTCTACATTAATCTTGGTTACTTACGTGGAATTCAAATGTCTCTGCCTAGGGACAAGATAGAAAATACAGAAATAAGTGCAAAAGGGGCCTTTAGATTGCCAAACTAAAAAAATGTTTTATGTATAGCAAATTAATATATATATAGATAGTGACACAGTTTCTTCTGGATGAACTTGGTTGAATTTATATTTTTATTTTGGAAAGTTTAGATCAAATTTAAGTGTCTTGGCAATCTGTTAAAAATGGTATTTCTATTTTGAATAAAACATGTTTGGTCCGTGTGGGATATGTGTTTTATGCAACTTCCTTAACCTCAACAGTCCTCAGTCCTCCAACAGGTGAAGGATTGAGACTGTTAGGGTTAATGCTAATAAAGACAAATTTGGTGCGTGGGCATTCATCCCGTAGGGATCATGGGGTGTATACCCCAACCCTTTTGACTGATGGGGTGGGGAGGAGGGGGAGAATGGGCCATTGCATCATTCCCCCTCCCCCACAAACACTTTATCGCGTTTAGAAAAAAGTGAAAGCTGATTGTGAAAAACTGGACTTCCGGACAACCAAAAAGTATTCAAGATCACTCAAAAGGAGAACAGTGTTTTAAAAAGCCATGACTAAAGCCGTCCTGATACATGTAGATCTGTACAAACAATGGCCCTATACTGTAGTCATAAAATGTCACACCTTCCGCCTGATCAATTTTCCATGGCCGGGCAAATCATCCCGCCCCCGACCCATTTCCGTCACAAATTGCTTGCCAACGGTGAGTTGAAATCGCGTATTTTGTGTGCATTAATTTTTTTCTCGAAATCTAAGGCCAACCCGAATATGCTTTATGCACATCAAACTGTAAGATAAGACGGCAAATAGTTTCGCCATCTGAAAGTTTTAACAATGTGATTGGAATATTAAAAAGTCCTGCAAGGTAAGGGACTCGCTCGGGGACATCTTGCAAAAAAAAAAGAAACTGCTCTGAGAGAAAGTCAACCGTATGAAAGAATGAACAGCCTACAACACTAAAATGTGGAGATGAATGATTCGACCATAATTTATGCACTGCGCCCTCTTGTGTCCGGTCCCGGATCCCGGGCCGGTCGAATCGTTGTATGAAAGACATGAACGGAACTCCCTGCGAAAGACAGCCCACACGTACACCGCCCCCCTGTTCTTTGAAATTATGAGAAGTTTGGTAACGGAACAGTCTAGTCCAACCAATTCCATTAAGTCGGTCAAGGGCGTATATCGAGGGATGGGGGTGTTACATCCTCTCCATATGTGGTAAGGACCTTTTGATCATTCCCCCTTTTCCGGTGGTGCGATAAAGAAAGAAGGCTTTCTTTTGGTCATTTTGTAAAAGCCCAACCGTGAGCCAGATTTTCAAAAATACGAATGAAAACCAAGAACAGACGATACAAAAACTTTAAAAGTACCATTTTCATATTACGGTAAGGACTGTCATACACTTCTCGAGCAGGAATTTATACCAAACGCAATGTGGTGTGCAGCAACCCCCCCCCCTGCTTTTCGAATATAGCCAGGTAATTTTAGAATTTTGTTTGCCCCCGGCTCGATCGCCACTCTGATTGGTACAAGTTATACCACGCGGACTCTCAACCCGGAAGAAGCCCCAAGAGTTGACACATAATCATAAAGTTTAACTACAGCATCATTGCCATGCTTATGCGTATACCTCGTGCAGATGGGCGTGCAGGGGAGGGGGCAAACGGGCAAAGGATTGCCTGGGGGAACTGAGTTCTATAACAGGGAAAAAAGAGAAAGGAATTTAAAAAGAGAGAGAGAGAGAGACGAAAGGGGAAGAAAATCGCTAATTAAATTGAAAAACTCAATCTAAACCCCTCCAGCCGTTATTGTTGATCATTTTTAGTTGATGGGTGCTTCGCCATACCCCCCCCCCATCCTCCCCGAAACAAGATGGTTTGCGGAGAACTGAGTACAAGTACTATACAGCACCAGGTTTGCACCCTCCTGGAAAAAAATTCATTTCCACGCTCATGCCAGAAGCTTGGGTTGGAAAAGCCAAAAACCTTTTTACCAATTCTCACCCGCCTCCAGAGAGACTGTTTGCAAAGTAATTTGCAATAAAACATATACAATTTTTTTTCTCAAAAGTACGATTTCAGAGCTGGGAATGACTTCATACTGCCAAGCGCCGTTGCGTCGAATTTTGGGCCTTTTGTTACGAGAATATTGTTCTCGCTGGATCCTTTAAATTGGCGTCACTTTTACATATAACCCTTGTGAGGAAGGAGGATTTCCGAAAAGCTTGGTGGCCGTCAGTTGAAAGTGGAAATGGGATATAAGACCAGGAATGTTCTTACCTCCTGAGACAGTCTTAATCTATGGGGATTCCCGCATTTTGCAGGGAGTCAGAACCTTGGCGGAATACTAGCCGTGGGTTTATTATTTGGAGACAGGGCTCTTGGCGACCTACTGCGCGGCATATATCAAGTTCTTAGTAATGAGATTTTAAATTAATTTTAGTAAGGTGAATTTGGCCATTTACCATTAATTCTAATGGGCATTTTTTTACGAAGGGGATGATAGCCCGGATTTCGTACGAGTGTTTCCTCTGGGACTCGTAAAACGTTCAGGTGACGAGTCAGACGGTGATGAATAGTGTTTCAAAGTTCGTGGAATACTGGTTACGTCACTGGAAATTAACTGAAAGTAATTCAGGGTCGGTAAGAAAAAGACAATGACATTAATTAGATCCAGTCCGATAACAGAAAGAAATGAAGCGGTATAAATTTAAACTTTGTAATAGACACAAGCCTTGCTTGGCTGGTGCATGTTTCTAAGAACAAAATCTACTGTTAGCTGGTAGAAAGTGACTCTCATCTACATGTACTTATAAATTTCTGTAAAATTATCGAAAACCGCGAACCACCCTATAGAACAGCTCCATCCATCATACCGCCACCCACGATTCAATGTCAAAATCTTTTCATAACTGGTGTGAGCCAGCTGGCTTCTTGTGCGACGTAAGTTTCAATTTCTTGGAAATTAAATAAATTCCACACAAGGACGGAACACACACGCATGCGCTCACTGACTGTCACGGATGGCATCATGGCGGCTGTCCTGAAGGAGGACGAAGAGAAAGTAAGTATGAAGTCGGCGATATTTTCTGCTTTCTAGCATCTTTTTGTCTAAGTTATGTGTTGAAGACTACTAGGATACATTTATTGTGTGCCAGAAATTCTCGTAATTAAACGGTTTGGCGTACATAAGTCGAAATTATCCTGCTTGGGAAGTGGTCACAAGTTACACTCATATGATCGTACATGTACAATGTACGTATGGTACGTGTCATGGATGTCAGAGGATGAGTGGTTGGAGGTTGTACGTGCCGTACATGTACATTACATGTGCGTGGTGGGCTGTGCATGCCATGTGTTTAGAGTTAAGCGCTACACTGAAATACACTTATCCGACTCCCTGTAGGCCTAGTCCCATTCAGACTATGTCAAAGCCATGAACATGATGAATGATGCCTGTAATTGTGTACGTGATATTTTTGCAATTTTTTCTTGATAAGTCATTATTGAATATTGCTAGGCCCTTCACCTTCCTTGTCATTCATGTCATTGAAACACACAAAATCGGCTACAAACTGCTTTTTGGCTGGAGTGGCCTAAATTTGAAAAATTCAAAGTTGAGAAAACTTGGATGTCCTGAATCTTCAATCTTTACAGAATTTTTACAAGGTAAAGCTAAAAAATGTTAATTAGTAAGGGCTGCATTGGCCCAGAGAATTGTAAGTCATCAATGAACACACTGAACTTGTCTTGCCTTGCTTCATTTGATAAAGCAAAATATGAAACAAACAGTTTCTTAGTCAAAAATTCATAATATTCCTGAAGAAGACGGCATTTTAGGAACGTTGACAGTGAAGAAAATGTTCATGGAAATAAGCATACATGTAAATGTAATTGTCTGCTTTCACTAACTGATGTGACTTGTGAGACCTAGGCCAAGACTAGATGCCATGCCGCTGCTGTGCGGAACTTAATTAAAATGAGTATGGCAATAGCACAGTAGTGGTGCGGCAGTTGTGCTAAATGCCGAACTTAAATAAAGCATTGTTGTACTACTGCAATGTGGAATGATGATAGCGTGGCATACAAGGGCTTGCCATGCCGAATTCAGTTTGCCAAGCCAAATGACACTAACACCATGCTAATGCTGTGCTGGGTTTTTTTGGCTGGTCAACCATTGTCAGCCCCACTGCGTTGCACAACGGACGAGTTGGCAAATAATTGAGTTTCGTTGATGTTTGGAGTCAAATTGGTTAATGGTCAAGTTGGTCAAAGGTTGAGTTAGGGGATTTTTAAGTGAGGAAAGGGAAGTTACACGTAGTACATGTACATGTGAAGAAAACAGGTAAATTTGTTGGTTTTTATGACACTTGAAATTGTGATGCTTGAATATGGGAATTTGCCATCCTTTTGTTTATACTACATGCACCTGTACCTCTGAAGAGAATGACTTGAGCTCTCTAAGAACAATAACTAAATTATGAACAGCAGTGATGCACTCTTTGGGGGGCAGTTCAGTTGTGCCCTTGATGCATGTAGTGTCATGCTTATGGTACCTACAGTGTACACAAATGTACATTGTACAGTACATTGTACATGTACTAGTATTTTGTCCATTGCATCAGGAATGGATGTATCATGTTGTCGTCACACCACAAACTGATGAATCTTGTGCACATAATCTTTGCTTGATAAATGTACTACATATAGTATTTCACTTTGTGATGTGACCGAATGATTTGGTATTGATTTTTGACAAGTTTTATGACCACATCCTTGACAACAGTCATGCATTTCAGGAAACAGCCTGCTGTAAAGAACTGCGTCGTGGTTTCAGATTAAAACAGCGTTGACTCCCTTTACTGACTGTCCAGTCATTCCTGGAAGATACATGTATGTCCTATTTACCAACGAATAATCCTTGATTTAGCCCTGGCAGATCATCATACAAGTACATGTAGTTCCTTGATGTAACCGAACCTGTGAAAGTTTTCCTTGAACCACAAATTTATGAAGTGTAGTACATTACATGTATCTCCTAATTGAAGCACTGTTATTGAACAAAGTTTGCATACATGTAAATTTGAATGAAATCTGGTACATGGAGTTACCTGTATCTGATTGCACATAAACATAACAATTTGAATTCCCCAGACTAAAGATACTGTTGCTATACCTCATGATGTGGGGCAAGTTTTTGCATAGCCACCACAGTCTCTGGAAATGG